ATGAATCTAGATGGCCATTTTCATTTTGCCAAAAAGTGGGCGTGGCTCGAGAAGTAGTCGGACTGGTGCTCCAAAATAGGACAGTTCAAATCGCTCCCATAGGAGTAACAACTGTATGCAATTTGAACATGTGGGTCAAACGGTTCTCAAGTTATCGTTGACCGTAGCCAAATGTTGACGAATACGGACGATGTACGACAGACGACACCCATGGCAATAGCTCATCTGACGATGTCAATTGTGAGCTAAAAATGATAACACATGCACACAAGCCACACACCCAAAACTTGCCTCTTCGGGATAATGTATCCGGCAGAGAGAAGTTTCACGTCGATGAAGTATAGACCTTGGCAAGCTCTAAGAAGCACAAGCCCCGACTTCTGCTTTAATATTACATCATCGCCATCAGATAGCATTCGTTTTTGTTCGACTTATCTCGTCACTGCAGACACACAACGGTATTTTCATCTATGAAGGTTCTCACAAACTTCAGCGTCAAAAGCACCTGAAATGAATAATAAATTAGATGCGTTCAATATGACATTATCCTTGACTTGAACCCATCATAGATGGGTGGGCTTATACGTTACTTCTTTGAGTAGTTAGCGAGGCTATATTTAGTTTTCACTATGTTCAAAACTCACACCACTCTTGGCAAGTTGCAACACATGAAATTTTCACAGTTACTTACTTGTTCTCGTCCTAGTGCTTCTCAGCACACTCTTTCTCACACAATCTTGATAAGCCATCCAGGAGTTTGTCAGGTAACCGTTTTACTTTTCAGCTCAACTACAAGCGGTCTGTTTGGATAATCTTTGGAAATTGAAGCATAACCGTAACATCCTTAAACTTTGTCGCGCCTTGTAAAAAAAAAACACACCAACATTTCCACAAAAACTCACATGATAAACTTTACCAAGGGTATTACTATTTAACGTCATATATATGTTACAAATTGAATAGTATTATTTTAAAATAATAAAACAGCTTACGTTTCTCTAAAGATGATAGTTACTTCTTTTTACTAGGATGCGGCATTCTCGCGTTATAGTTTTTAAGTATTTCAGCACCACAGCCATGTTATTTCAGTATGATGTGTGTCAGTAATGCTTGAAGAGTTAGACCTACCGTTTTCGGACTCTGACGCATTGCCCTGAAACACATTGCTTCAAACTCACTTCCTTCCACTTTCTCTGTACACCGGTTGTGTTAACATCTTTCAGTTCTGGTGCAT